TCCATAGCCCTCTGACTGCTCTTCTGTTCGCGAATGCCCAGCACACAGCTGCAGGGCCATGCAAGGATGGTGTCTGAACCTTGCAAGGGTGGTGCTCCTATCTACTTCTGCTTCGGGTTCATCGTAGTGTCCCATGCTTGGGTTTGGCATGCCAACCACACACCCAATAGAGTCAATAGAGCTTACATTTTCGAAACTACCTCAACAAGGAGTAGGCTGGTGTTCTTTCGAGTCTCCTGTGTGACTAGGATCTTGAGCAGAGAACTCAGAGAATGCAGCCACCATTCTCCCAAGTTGGAATCTGAAGTGGGCGGCACAAGGCCTTGAAGAGGTTTATTGAACTGCCCTGTTGCTGACAGCGATAGGTTCAGATTCCATGAATTTCATCATGGATCCTTGAATCCCGCCTAAATGGATCTGGACGTGGTTCAAGAATCTATGGAACGCCAGACAAAGCTGGCACCCATTTTTTAACATGCAGTTATTGGTCCATCGCATGGCGGTCGATGGCCGTCGTGAACCATCGAGGGGAGTAGGCCCCCAAAACACCTCCGACTCCGACCTACGGATGGTCTGGCACGGCCAGACCGCGAAGCGAATTCTTTTTTGTTTGGCGATGGCGTTTTTAAGCTCAGAGAGACTTGTCAATGTAGTCAATGCAGTCCAACATGTGCAGCAACATTTGCTCAACTTCGAAGTATTGTGCTTCCAGGTTGATCATGTTTGTTCCCCATACTTTGCGAGACTCCACTCTAATTGATGGCTTCAAGACTTGTTTCCACGGGTGTTCGGCAGCAAACGTCCACGTGAACGTCCAGAAGTGCTGTTTCGCCACCTGTGAGCCGAGAGCGCACCGTTGAGCCGAGATCCTGTGCGATGGATCTAATCCGACGAGTCTGCGACGCACTCCGGGCCAAGCAGCGCTGTGGCTACATCACCAGAGCTGAAAACAAGGGCCAACGGCTTCCAGGATGAAGGTACCAAGCGATTGGCCGCGTGATTCGCTACCGAAAACGGCGCCAACGGGTATGATGACTCTTTGGGATTTCCGAACCACACCTGGACCGGAAGAAGCCGCGGACATCAAAAAAGACCTCTTTCTTTTTTGGAGTAGCCGTGGTTCTATGGGGGGCCGCGTGGATTACGCCGGTCCCATCGTGGCGCGTGGATTGATTGTGCCACACCCGGTGAACTGGGCCTTTTTGAATCCCAGACGAGGCCAGGAAAGACGGTGAGGCCAGAGCTGATATCCTTTTAACATCTTTTAACTCTTTTCCAGGAAATCGCTACTGTTGTTGTCTGTTTTCAAGACTTTGTTTCATTTTTCACACCCTTGCCTTGTCACTGAAGTTCCTGGTTTGGTCCGGATGATGCACCAGATCAGAGGAGGCTGGCTCACGGAGAGAGGCGCATCAATTTGCTCCCGACATCAGCTGTCCAGGACCTTCAGTTGAAGAAAGCCAGGTGGAATACTTGTGGGTCATGGACCATTCTTTCTTCAAGGTTTATGGCACATTCTTCCACTTTTTTCGATTGAACTCTTTGGAGGGATACTTGCTGGGTTTCCTATCACACTTCGAAACGAAAGAGAGATGGACGACTCCATGCTTCTCCAGAGGTAGGTTTGTCTCCACCTGTCCTCACGTGATCAGGAGGTGAGTATGTTCACCCTCGGTGAGACCAAAGAGGTAGGCTTGCCAGGGAGTTGCTTTCGTCAGGGAACATCTCGCCATCCGCTTCGGACGGGAGCTTGGAGTGCGCGCTTCTTCTGATCCCTGCGGTTCGAGGAACCGAAGACCCCTGGCGAGACGCCCTGGACAGGCCGCAATCAAACGCGCCCTTTTTTTGGCGCAAGGACCGAACGGCAGGGTCTCTTTTTTTATTTATTGGTCTCCTCCAGCGGAACACCCCCAGAACTCACCCCCTTCCGGAGATCTAGATCTAGATCCAAGTGGGTGGTACAGTTTTTTTGGGGTTTCATCCTACACTCCTCAAGTACTTTTTTTTGCCAAGGGCGGTCCACTTCAATGACATTGTACTGTGACTGGAACGGGTTTTACCTCCACTCCTTGCAAATCATCGTCGTGCACGTGGAGAAGGCACCACCACCTGGGAGGGACGTCTTCGGAGAGTCTTCGGGGCTTTGAAAACGTACGCAGCGGTAGGATTTCGGAGAGTCTCGACCCACGGAGGAGCTTTGAAGCTGGTTTCAACCAGCACAAGACCGAATTTTAGACACCTGTTGTCCTGTTGAAACCAGCACTCTTGAGCTTTGATGTGGATATGGTCCTTTCTCTTGTCCTGGATTACACAACTGAATCTTCTTCAAACGTATGCTGGACACCCTTTCATCTTATATTTCGGTTCATGTATAGCTACAATATTTGGTTCATGTATAGCCGTGTTTTTTTTTTTTGAATGCCTTGTTCACCTTCTGCAAGTTGGATTTGACAAATGTGAGTAGGCGTTCCCACTCTTTCGACTCTGACCTCTCGCCCAAGGGAGACCTTTAGGAAGCCAGGTCACAAAGCTGGCCTCGCCAAAGTCATGAGTAAGTTTACTAAGTATGAAAAAGGTCCGTTGAGCTTCTGAAGATGTGACGGGACAGTGCCGCTTGAACATTCTTGGCATGAGGGACTCGAGGGATTGATACCAATGGTGAAGGTGCAGGCTCTTTGACGAGAGGCCGTGTCCAGGGTGCAAACAATGACGGGGCTGTTGCCGTTCCTCTGCACACGCGGATGTACTGCACACGGGTTGCCTTCCTTGGGGCAAAACGAGCGCTTCGTGGGTCGGTGATAAAGAGGAGGAAGCCCACTTTGGTGAGGCCCAGCTTCGAGGAGGAACAGGGCCCAGGGCCCCCTATTTTTCCAAGCACGTTTCTTTTGATGTTCGTCTTTGGTCCTTAGGAGTAGACTGAGAGTGGCACACCAAAGACCTTTGCTCCTTGTGACAGCCGACCCACTGCCTGTTTCAAAAGAGAGCCACAGTACCATACTGTGGACCAATGCTTGTGGATGATCATGAGTTGTGCCTACCTGCGACACTCGGGCTTGCCTTAAATGCTTTCTGTAAGCCTAGAGATATTGGATGCATCAAGTGTCCAAACCAGAACTTCAGGAGCCTCCGAGCCATGCTGGTTCAATGAGGATCCTTACACTTGCGGAAACTCTTCCGTACAAGTCAAAGATAAAGGTGGTTCAAGACTGCGCAGACTGGTCCGAAGATGATCATCTGAGACTTGACTCAAATGCTAGTGCCGTCAGTTTCTTTGATTGAGCCACCGGCAGAAAGGGTCAAAAGGAGAAATGCTGCCAGCGCTGATGTGGGGATGGGTCAAGAACTGTAGCCCCACCACCATGTAGCTTGACCATGGTGAAGGGCCCTTGGGAAGCGCAGGATCTGGAGGCAAGTCACGTCGGTAAGTCAACCAAGGTATTCAGGTAGGTCAACTTGGAGCCTTCCAGATTTTGTCCACATTCCATGCCAGCTTTCGTTTCTGTTCTTGCAATCTTGTTTCGTTGCTGGCGGCGGATATTCGGTTTCACTTAGTTTGTGAGGTGTGACATATGTGTTTATTCTGTGTGCAGTGTGGTATTTACCCCAGTTGCCTGGTACCCAGCCAAGCTGAAGGACCTAGGGACGCGCTCAGACACGGTGCGCAAGTTCTGTCGGTAGGTCAACCAAGGTTTCCGGTATCCTGGTTTTGACCCATAGCATGCTGTATGTATATAAATGTATGCATACATGCCAGTACATATAACATTAATATGTATATATGATATAACTACATGGGAACGATGCCACCAGGCGCCTGGTCTTGTCGGCAAATCAGTCATGACGCCCCCAGTCACCCTGCGGCGCATGCGTGCGCACCCTATTTTCGCCACTTGCCAAAACTACTTCGTGTTCCACATGATGGAGAGCTTTTTCACGTTCTCCTCAGGTGATCCACCCATCTTCTTGCGTCGAAACACCCACTGCCACACACGCATCTCCAGCTTTGCTGAATGCGTGGCCTTCACACCCTTTGATTGTTTTTTGTTGCCTGTCTGTGGCAGCCAACTTTTCAAGCTCTTCCGAAGCACGCTCGACAGAGGCACGCTCGCGTAGCATCGTCATGGTGCCCCCTGGCAAGAGTCCTTTGGAAAAAACCACCAACGCTGAAACTAAAGGTGACAAACCTCTACCAGTCTCCAAGTGATGTTCGCCAAACCCCACGAAAAATTCTCAGTAGTCCGTCAAACATTGAAAATCCAAACACCAACGGTCCTGGTCCAAAACTATTTCGATGGTCAAACCAACCAAAGGATCCCCACTACGAACTTTACACCAAACTAAAGAAATCTTCCAGATAACCTGGGTGAACACGAAACCAAGGTTGAAGAACCGGGGGTACCTCGTCTATGTCCACAAAACCCGCCAACCGCAACAAAAGACACAACGAAACGCACCGAAAAACAAAGAAACAAAGGTTGCGGCATGTCTTGACTGAACCAAAAAACATGCATGTGCCCAAGCACGTGTGCCTAACTGAGTCTAACCCGCAGTCGAAGACAAGCCCAAGTATACAGTACGCTACGCAACAGGTGTGCTAAGCGACGCCCCCCCCCCCCCCCCCCCCCACGCACCCATGTCAACACATGAAGAGACGCAGTGCGTGCGTTTAGAACGTGAAAACACAACGAAAACACCAGGCGCCCCGCAGCGACGATGGCAACTACATATGGCTACTCTATTAGTGCTAAAAGCACACACAACAGTTGGCGCGACAGGTTGGCCTTTTTCGCCTGTTGTACTCGGTGGTTTTTGGCCTTGGGGATCCCACATCCGATTTGCACATGCGCGTAGAAGAACCCGTAGGAGTCCTTTTGCACCGCAAGTGGCTGGGCCCTGTGTTGGACCACTCCATGTTCATGCCCCCATTTCAATGTTCTGCTCAGGGAGCTTCACCGCTTCTGAGCCCACTGGGTGATCCAACGGCCTGAGCCAAGTGCAACCAAGAGGCTTCACCGCGCTGGGCCAGAAATTCTGTGAGTCAGATGATCATTCGACCTCCTCGGATGGAGGTCGTTTTCGGTCGAAAGGCCAGGACCGCCGTCATGGGGGCGGCGCTCCGGTTCGCTGAAGTCCTGGGGTCGGAGAGGGCCGTTTTTGGGCCTTGGCTCGGCCGGAGTAGCTTGCAAGGGGAGACCTGACTGGCCAGGAAATGACGGAATGGATCCTAAGCAATCCTTTCGGTACCCTATAAAAGATGTCAGGACCCAGTCAGCATTTCCTGCTCTTCTTCAGCATCAAGTCAAGTCTGCCGCCATCCCACGGTGCACCTCGGCTCAAGATCGGCGCTTGCCCGGTCCGAGAAGCAGGCCTTCAGTGAGGCAGGGATGTGGTGAAAGGGATGTGGTGAAAGGTGGGTGGGCCGGCTCTTGAAATGAGAGCAAGTGCTGATTTCATCTGATTTGGATAAGACATACTGTGTATATTCCCAACAGCAAAATGCAGTGTTTCGGGGCTGGGAGTGGTGCGCACTTGGTCACCATCGCCCGAAATCCAACCCTGGGTGCTGTTGTGTTGGTACCCTTGCTGTGAGGTGCCACCTTGAAACGTTGGGAATGCTGCCTTGGAACCCTTGAGCCTTGGAACCGTGTCTGTAATGAGAATGCTGGTTCTGCCAAATGCTGTGTTCGTGATACGGCCTTGGAACGTTGTTAGGTGCATGTCCCTACCAGACGTTTCTGCAACTGCAACTGCTTTTTCACATGTAGTGTCCCTTGTGTCACCGCTACGAAGCAATCTTTCCTGCAGCACAAGACGTGCGGTTGTATGTGCAGTAAGGCCACAGGCAGTTGCACATGCCAGGTAGGACGTTTCTGCACCAGAAACAGCTTTTGCACGTGTGGTTCCTGCCTCTGTTGCAGAACTTCTACGCTCAGCAATGCCACACGCAGCTGCATGTACCTGGTATAGGACGTTCTTGCACCGTTGCCGCACATCCCTTGCAGACCAACAGGATATGTCTAGCAGAACGTTTGTGCATCGGCAACAGTCTTTGAACTTGTGGTGTGCTTTGTGCCTCCGTTGCGAAGCATTCTTCCTACTCACAACGAAATAGAGGCCACAGGCAGCTGCACGATGTTGCACCTCCTTAGCGGGACGGTTCGGTGCTGTGGTGTGCTTTCTGTCTCTGTTACGATTCATTCGATTGCTTAGTCGTGGGGCCATTTTTTTGTAGTTCTGCTCTTCTCCGTTTGCAACACATAGTTGGAGCGTTTGAAAAGTCCCAGTCAATTGAATTGCTATTGGTGTTGGGTCGCGAAGCCGGGTCTATATTTCTATATGAATATATGTATTTAACATAAACTATATCGCCTGGAGCCTCTGAGCTGAGCTGGGAAGTTCTGCCATTCAGCTGACCCACTCAATTGCTCAGGAATCCGGACCTAATTGGAGCCCACGGTGTAGATTTTTAAAGCTTTCATGGACCCCAAACAGAGAATGAAAACATATACAGACATTCATAAGCCTTACATCGGACGGAGCTCTTGGTTCAGTTGCCAGGTCAAGGGAAGTGTGGGGAAAATCAGATACACTATGAAAACAGATGCAGTCACCTGATTTCATTGCGTGTTTTCCTTCTGGGGAACACCTGAGCTAGACTCATCATAGACCTTGCCATCAAGTCCAGGATGGCAGCTGGCGGATGAGCCGAATCTTCCGTCCAGCGGCCGGAATCGCATGGTGCGGGAACCCGTCACTCAAATCCTTTAGATATCCCCAGATTTCAGGGGAATTGTGGTCCCTACTCTAGATAGGGGTACCATTAGAGCAGATTGGCATCAGATTGGCTGCCTGCAAGCGAGCTGGCTTTACCGAAAGGCAAAGGACAGAGGATGATTGATGAAAAACACTGTCTTTGAAGAGCAAGAGCTGGTGTACAACTTTATAACAATGCAATGGAACCAAGCAAACCACCCCCCAAGCTGATAGATTCAGATCATCAGATCAACGCCTGGTGTGCCCTGATGATTTCAGGCACCTCACATAGAAAAGAGTGCTTTCGGATCACTCAGTCAGGTCAAAGAAGAGTTGAGTTCCCTTGTAAATTTGCGAAGGATCCAAGAAAGGCTCTTGACAATGAACCTGTCAGAGGAGCTGACCATCGAACGGGACCCTTCAGATCCAAGGGTTTCCAAGAAGCTCCCCCGACCAAGCAACTCCCGCCCCGTCCCTTTTGTTTCCCGCACCGGTTCCCCGTGCCCAAACGCTTGAGGTCCATATGCCTTGTTCTTGTGGCTTCAGAGCGCATCGATGAGGCTCGCCTCGATCTGGAGGCACAGCGGCACAGCGGCACTCGGGGGGGGAATCGGATCGCCGGTTCTCCCACAGGGTCGCGTGGCTTCATATGAAGAGGAATTCCAATTCAATTGGGGGGGGAGTCTACAGGAATGATGTGCCTACCCAACTACTTTGTAAAACTGATGGTTGTTTGAGTCTTGTTTTGAGACTAGTGGGTGACAGGACCCCGAGGTGGGCCCAAGCGGGAGCACCCGCTGCTGGTGCGGAACACCTACTAAATGGGCTGGAAGATCGGGTGAGCACCTAGCGGCCCAGCCACCCAGGCGCCCAGCCGCCCCCACCATGGCCGCCACGAGCACCAGCACCGCTCTCCGCGGCGTCACCGTGCGCCGGAGATCCGTGTGGTGGACTTCGAGCGTGCGGCTTGGCGGCTTTTGGTGTTTTTTTTTTTTTTTTGTGTGTGTGTGTGTGTATCGGGAGGAGATGGGGGAGTCCCAGGCATGCACGTTTAGCACTTTGATGATTTTTGATGTATGTCTTCAATGATTCAATGATGTTCACAGTACATCATGTTTGTAAGTGTCAAAGTCAGCTCCCAAAGGGCCACGTTCTTTTTTGGGCCTTCTGCTTTGGCCACTCGGAACATGTACCCCCCTCTCCCCCTTCCTGGCTCCTCCGACCGAGGCCTCCTCGGCCTTGCAGTCGGAGGCCCGGACGGAGGTGCACATGATGCCCGGCATGGCCCCTCGGAGCGCGGAGAGACGGAGAGACGGCCGGGTTGGTTTGAAAAAGGTTCCGGCAATGGTGTGTGTGGTGGCACTGGGTGGCTGAATGAAGTGGTTGGTGAGGGGATTTGGAATGTGGATGAGGAAACTTAGATGGCCTAGGGCAGCAGCCTAGCAGCCAGCATGACCATTTGAGAGCGGTGTGGCTGACGGAATTAAGTCCAGTCAGCCAGGGAGGATCTCCCGATCTATGTATCGATGCATCGGGTTCCGAAATTCCTTGTCCAGCAGGCTTGCCTCTGTGCACTTTTGGTGCGGAAGTGACTATGGGAGGAGGACTGAGTTGTGTCACGAATGACCCAAGCCTGTTGGGATCCAGGGAATCTGCTCCGCTACTCCAATCCCAGTCACCCACCGCACCATGCGCTTGGTCAATCGCAGAGGGTTGCTGGCAAGCAAGTGGCTGGAACCACGGGAGTAAGTAGCGGACGGACTACGCCTGGGCATGGCACCGGCCAAGGATGGCATGGGGCAAATGATGAAGATCTTGGCTCTTTGTGCCGTGGTGGGTGCGCTGTGAACCGCCGTCTCGGGTCGCCGGTCGATCGACGCATGTGGGTGTCTGGATCAGAGGCCAGTGAGGAAGCGGTGGTGTGAGAGACATGGAATTTCGGGCCGAATTCGCAGTGTGGGACCTAAGTCATTGGTGGGGAGCGACTTGACGGACGCAAGAAACATGTTCCTCAGAGTCCAGCTGCACACGATTCTGGATCTTCAGCTGGCTGAAATCTCCAGGCATTGCCTACAAGATGATCAGCTCCATGTTCGGATGCCCTGGCATTGGTAAGGTGGACATCAGCAGCAGGGGCTGGCCATGGGCCAACGGTGGTTTGAGCCTGAACTTCGTGCAAATGAAATAAACATGCTTGTTCCTACATACTGCAGATGGACGACATGATGGACAAAATCATTACCCCCTTACAAAATAGCAATGCGCACCAAGAGTATCAAAGAGTTCAGAACAAGACAAACCAGACAAGAAACGTGGGCAGGGGGAGTTGCGCAAGAGGTTCCTCTTGGGAAGCCGAAACCTCAGAACCTCTTGACCTAGCTTCAGGGCATCAAGCTTTGGTCCATCTACCAGCACCACTGATTCCGGGTGTCCATTAATAGCCCGACTGGGGGTCCACACCGATTCGTTTCTTCTCAGACCCCCCCAAATCCCGGCGACCCCCACACCGACACCGACCGGGGATTCGAGCACCGCTCAGCAAGGTGCGCCTCGCGCAAGTGCGACTGCCGCAGGCGGGGCGGATCGTGCGCAGGGACCAGATCGGCACCTGGCGCTTCAAAGAGGGTGGATCTTCCCGAGATTTCGCAGTGATTTCTATAATTTTTTCTATTCCTAGAACCTGATGGACCCCTGTTTTGGAGCCAAAACATGGTCTTTTCCTATCAAAACAGGGGTCAAATGGGTTCTATATAGGTATATATTATAAATAGGTCTCCTCAGATTTTGCCTTCAGACGCTGGGCGACTTTGGCACCTCGGATCGTTATTGGGTCTCCTTCTCATGGAGACACCTCGTCACAGCCAGACCAGCCCGGTCTCGTCCGGACTTCGTTTCTTTGTGTCATGGCCACCGGTCGAGCGACCGCAGACCCATCGGACCGGGACGACTGACCGGGACGGTGGACGACCGACCTGGGCGAGGTTCAAGATCATTGCCCAGTGCCTCCTCGCCTGGGGCTGGGACGAGCCACTGGGCCCACCAGTCGACGCGAGTCGAGGAAAAGAGACGGGTCGAGTCGACAGAAGAGGAACACCCGAATTCTCCGAAGAGACCACGCGACCGTGGTTTGGGGGAGGGAAAACCCGTGGCTGGTCCCTCCGAATGGTCCGTCGCGTTTCTGGATGGCCAGACACCCAGCCAGTGGGTTTTTGGCCTTTGCGGTTTCATGCAGTCGACGACGTGCAGTGGCCACCCCAGCATAGCGTCAGGTGAACGCACTCGGTCAAACAGAAGACCCATCAGGGCAGCCAAGTACCTTTCACGCTTAAAGTGGAGCGGCACCCCGTGAAGGAACATCCCAAAGTGACTTTGCAACCTCATCATGATTCGGAAGCTGCAACACTTTCATGAAGGAAACCGTTGGATTATGAAAACCCAACTTCTTCAAAGGTCCCCTATAGAGAAGTGACCAAACTGAAGAGTAGATCCCAACCACTTAAAGAACTGAAAAACGATTCGAAACTGAGATCTCATCGATTCATCACGCATGACATAAACACTACGCCGAGACTTTGTCTTCTTCTTCCCTCTGTCGTAAACAGGAGTCATGTGTCGCATCGCCAAGATGACAAGGCAATGTACACTTCCAACATCTTCCAACAAACTAACTTCCCCATCTGTGTCCAGCCACGCATCCGAAACCAGTCCAAAAACAACTTGGTGATTCGCTCACCAAAAGGAACATCCACCTGGCAATCCAAATTTCACCTGTTCGAGCGGAAGATGTCCAATGCCCTGCTGTATAAAATCCTGAAGAGATGGAGTTGATGGCACGATGATCCCAGAATTTGGTTTGTTTTAAGAAAACCACTTAGGCTATCTCTGATGGTTTGTCCAAAAAAAGGGAACAAAGCAACTACAAAAAGCAACAGCAAAAAAACGCATCTGAACAAGCAAAAGCAAAAAAAAATCCAAAAGGCACCACAAAAGCAAATTAAGAAGCACACACACAAAGAACCGATTTAAAGAAGCACAACAATGAAAAGGCAAAAAGAGAAAAAACACAAAAAACGAACAAAAAAGAAAAAACACAAGGCAAATGAACAAGCAAAAAGCGAAAAAAAAGCGAACAAACAAAGCGAACACAAAACAATGAAAAAGCAGAACAAAAAAAAGCGAAACAAAAAGCAAAAAAAGAAACAATGCGGGCAATCCAAAAAGTGATGTAAACAAAAAAATAAAACAATCGGAAAAACGCAAAAAAAGAGTGAGTTAGCCTGGGTCCGGCGATGTTAAGGTTTGTTGAATCCCATCATTTGGTTCTTGGCATCCACCCAAAACCTGCAAAGTACTCACCCAACAAGCATCTTGTTTGTGCACCCGTTCATGGTACAACTGAACTCAAGGAGTTCAACCAATCAGCATGCTGAACTCTGATGACACCCAACCAGTGTGTTTTAGTCATGTTCCTTCTTCCAGAGGTCTTTAGGAGTTATCCCTATTTTGATACACAGCCATATAATTGATATACTTCACGCACCTAGGCCTTTCGAAATCCGAGCTAATATGGATGGTAATCCATCCATCCAGCAGCTTCCATTTTGCTATTGTGCCGCCGTGCCATGGCCCACAGAACTACTCTAGACTAGGGCACAGGCTGAAGACTCAATGGCCATGGTATTGATTTGCATGTTGATTGGGGTTGCTATGGCGACCCCTTTGGATCATGACTGCGTCGAACCCGCGTCTATCATGAACTTTTTGCTGCAGGTGGAAACACAGAAAAAGTTTGCAAGAGGAACAGAAGGAGATTTGACGAATTGTGGGCGTTTGGTTGAGGACAAGTGTGATCCAACAGCAAACTTTTTTTGCAGCAACAATTGCAAAATACACACACATGGGCAAGATTGCCATCGACCAGTTCCAGAGGTGATGGCCGAACATCCGGGAATCGATGGGTATTGCTATTTCAATCAAACTGGCTTTTGGGTGACCCGGATTTTGTCGAGTCTGCGAAAGGGGGCATCCTTGGTCTAAGGGGTCCCCTGTACCAAGGGAAAGATCAAGGTCCGCTCATCACTTACAATTTTGAGGGTCGGACGATCACAACCTACATGGACTCCTCGCACTATTCATTTGATGATTTGTATGGATATTCCCTGGGCTATTTGCAAGGGCAGGGCTTTGATCCAGAGTTGGTGAAGAACAGCAGCCAGTGGGTGACTATCTCCAGACAGAAGTGCTTGGACATCCAGGCAAAGTACAACTTCCAAAATGAAGCCTTGCTCTTTCTCAAGGAATTTTTGTTTATGTTGTTTCCTTTCAGCTTCGGAACGAGTTGTTTCTCGCTCTCCAGAACGGGAGGGTCCAAGATTGACGGCCCCAGTCATTCTGTAGAGGCTGCATAGTAGTAAGGAGGACAGCTGTGCAATTGCTGACGCTTGGTTTCTGTATCGTGAAAACCAACAATCATTCTAGTAGTGCGACAATCATTGCGGGGCTTTGCATCGTCAAGCTGTGGCAAGGGGAACCTTCTGGAGCTTTTTAAACACAGACTTAATAGGAGCAGATGGAAGCGTTGACAACTTTGAAGGCCATGGAATGTCTAACTATTTCGCTGTATTTGTAGTGGTTGATCAACTTTGCGGAGCATAGGCCCATACTTCACTTGTGAAAACTTGATTCGCTTGAAACGAGTCCGAGTCGTAGTTAAGAACGAAACGGGCCAAACGTAGTTGAGGTTTAATAGTGTACATACAGGAGTACATCCCTCCGTGTTGACATGTTGTGTCTTGTGTAATGATGTAGCTAGCTGAAAAATGCTGAAAACATTCATTCTGATTTCATTGACTTTTGGCTCAAGCTGACGCGAAACAGGAACGCGTTGCGATTCACTGAGTTTTTGACCGGTGGGTCACTCACTCAACAGGTTAAAAGCCTCAGTGCGTATCCTTTCGCACACCTTTTTGGACTTCGATAGAGCAGTCGAACCCTTGCCTTGTGCGAACAGCGCCTTCGTTTTTTTACCTCAGGTCTTCGACCCGAGCGCCTTCCCTATCTAGCAGTTCAACTCCTATGGCCGAGCTGCATTCGTATTGTCTTGGAGGCTTGAGCCGGAGTTCCTAAGTAACCACCGAATCAATGCAATGGCGCTTGACCAACTTCGACTCAGAGACTTAGTCTCGGCATTTGCTTGACTGATCGCCCTGCTTCTGAGAACCAGCAGAGAGCCTAAGTCACACACACCAAACGCGGCGATGCATCAAAGCTTTCGTGCACTCGTCTCGGCCCGAAGCAAAGACCAGCGCCAAGTCAATAGCACTTATAGCAAGATCACAAGCGTTGCTGCTGCGATTGTTTGCGTTCATCGTCTTGCGGCTGGCAGCGTTCTCTTTCACATGAGCGGCTGCAGCACTTACCCGCCTCGTACGGCAAGCGTCGTGAACAGAAGCGTGGTGGAAAGCAACATCGCCGAAGGAAGAGCTTTTTGCGGGACCCTCCCCTATTATCTAACTTCACGACGCTTTCCCCGAGTACTGAAAGAGTTTTGCAAGATCCTTAGAGCTTCTATACTGAGTGCATGAGAGTTATTGAGATTGAGTCTGAGGTCGCGAGTGGCTGCGTCGAACTGGAGGAAGTGACGGGGAATTCTGGGCTGATCCAGGCCCTGAGGTGCTGGAACGTCGCAGAAGTTAATTTTGTGGCAAGTAGCTGGCAAATCAAAACAGCTAGCTAGCTGTCATTGATTTGAGTGCCCAGCGACCATCAAGGACATGAAAAGGTCGACTCGAGCAAAAGCAGTCATGTATGCATTTGGAAGTGGCTGGGCCATTCATGTATGGATATGGAAAATGGTTGATCCAAAAAAGAACAGAGAAGAACTTTGGCTGCGCCAGAGGACATTTTTCACTTCTCTTTACTCTGGCAGGGTGGAATCGCTCGAAGCAGGTTCAACTTCCCAAAATTTTCTATACACCCTGGATTCTATAGGAAAAGTGGTTGTTTTTTGTTACCGAAATTGGTCTCTCTATAGAATAAAAATACAAGAGGTCCAATCTTTGTGAATTTTATAGTACCATTCCTCTCACATCGCATCAGGTTTGTATGTTATAGAGGCATGTGTTTTGAGGGCAACCCTGCACACTTGGTTCTATACTAGTCGTAATTTTAGCAAGTGTTCTATTTCTATAACTGTGTGACAATTGGAATAAAACCATGTAAAAACAATGATTATCTCTTTAGATCTCTATACTTTTTCGGGCTGGCAAGAGTTCAAATCGAGTGTTTACTACACGTATTCATTTTTCGATTCTATAGCGGAGGGTTTGCTTCAGGTGTCACTTTTTTCAGTCAAGCATGTTCTTTTGATTTTGTAGTATTCTTGCTTTGTCTGATCTGTGATCTAGATTTTATAGTGGGGCATCTGGGGTCTGGAGCCTGGTTTTTGCTACAGAATTAGGGTGTACAGGGTAGACTGTGATTTCACACGGGGACGCCAAAACAAATTAGACTAAACTTTGAAACTTTGGATTAGACGTGGCCATTTTCACTGCGCTGTGGCCATTTTCACTTTGCCATGTGCGGGGACCATGAATTCAAGGTGAGTGTCGCTCTCACATTGAGGCAGGTCAAAAGTAAAGTCGTGCATTTCACAGCCAAACAGGTCGCAATCAAGCGCTCGTTGCTAGCAAAGCAAGAGAATACTAAAAAACATGTTTCTCAACAAAAACGCGCGTTGCTGCGTTACTGCACCAACGCCGTGGTGAACCAGGTTCTGTCGAGATTGGAAGCGGTGATGCAGCAGTGGAGCCCTTTGCTTGCAAAGATTTTTTTCACCACATAAGTATCTCTTTTTTCTTCGCTCGTTTCGCCAGCACTCAGGCCAGCGCCGTCGCAGCCGCGGTCTCAAGGGCAAGTTCGCCTTGCCCCTTGAGGCCGCAGCCACCTTCGCAGCGCTGGCCAGCCGAGGTCCTACTCCTTCTTACCTTCACCCATCTTTTGTCCGTATTCTTCGCATCGTCTACGCAGGTGCTTTCCGCGGTGTAGCCACGGTGTAGCGGAGCAGCTGCCCTCCTGCACTACGGAGAAAGCCGCCAAGCGGCAGCTCCGCCGCCTGTCCGTCCACGCACCTTTCTCGGAGTACTTGATGCACCGCGACGTCCGGGCGCCGTCGAACTTCTTCCGTGTCGTCTGCTCCTTTGCTTCGTCGCCGTCTGCAGGTTCTCTTTCCACATCGGGCCGGCGACGCCCTCAAGGAGTCTACTTTGGGCATGGGACTTCTCAACTGCAGAGGAGCAGTTACAAGACGTGCGCAGCCACTCCTCTGCATTCTTTCACCTCTCTTTGCTTCTCTTTCTCCTTCTTTCTTTTTCGCCGCGCTGAGATTGGCTGCTGGACGCATTGGAGCCATGGGACCTGCATGTCCGGGGCGTGTGCGCCCGCGGTTGGTCGTGCGTCGTGCAGGGCGCGCCTGCCGCTTGGCCTCATGGACACCGCTATACTCGTGTCTCTTCTCCCTTCCTCTCGTTTTTGCTACTGAGGTGTGAGCTCCGACGCTGCCAAGCTTTTTGCAAGAAGGGCTGCGGGGGCCCTCGGCGCAGCGCCGGACATAAGCAGCGCGCGCGGCTGCGCGGGCCTTGGCCGGCTCTGGCGCCGCCTCGGCTTCCGAGCGAAGCCACGCGGCGCCACTTCCAGTTCCTTGGTCACATGCACTGCTCTGCCGTATGCCTGCTCTTTACTCTACTGCCTCTGCGCCACTTCCTTTGCTCTTCTGAGCCGACCTGTGCAAGCTGCGTTGAAGAGCGCGGACAAGCAGCTTGAGATTTTGGGCAACTAAGTTGACAAGAGATGGACTGATGAACTGCTGTGTTCTGAATATGGTTGCCATGTTTTACAAAACTATTCTGGCAAGCACGTCACAGCTGAGGTCAACTGCGGGCGTATGATGGAACCTTCACGAATGTCTACACGTGTGGATCTTATTTGACTAGTGGCAAATTGGGACCCGGGTATCCGGTTTGGAGAAATATTGAGGCGTGTGTGATGGAGTTCAGACCCGTGGCAGCATATGATGTGGATCGCAAAGGTCTCCTTCACTGGACATCTGATACTTACGTTGATGCTCCCCGCTTGCAAGTGTGACACAGCGACATGCTTACTAAAGAGTGTCATCGCTGACCAGTTGCTCAGGCGGCCAGGAAGCCAGACCATTTTTTATTTTGAAACAATTTCGATGGACAGGTCTATGGACGTTTCGCATTCTGAACAAAGAGGCTAGCCTCACAATCCAAACCGGGATAAACTTGAGATGCTGAATTATCAGATGCTAGGTTGACAATGTCTTTGTTGGCCGCTGTCTTGCCAGCATAAAGATTGTCTTAGAACATCTGCTGCGGAATCTCCCTTGGTTGAACGCTATTCCTTTGGACCTGAACGGCAAGCAATCTCTGAGGCATTGGACCCAAATTTGTTTTGAGGACCTTGACCAAATTCATTTCACCTCAATTGAAATTTGCAGTGGAATTTCTGCAAAATGTTGCCGCGGACATCGTGTTTGTCGATGGATCTCTTCTGTCGAGCAGTGTGCAAACACGTGTGGCAAAGGGAACAGCTTAGAAGCAGGGAACCCAGTGTGGAAAACTTCGCGCTGAACATATTTATTTCGAGGATGTACTCTCAGCAAAGGATCTGAGAGGTCTTGTGCGCAAATACCTTCCGCCGGGCAATGTTCATGAGCTATATCAATTTTACTCTGGCTGGCGCTATGCACACAGCATTGATGCGGTAGCGTCGACACCTGACTGTTGTAAACTTGTGGCCAAGCGTTCTGCTCGGATTGAACATCCTGTTGATGTTGATGAATATGTCACTACTTTTAGCGTGTCCATGTGCGAGCAAGGTGTGGCGCGTTCTTATGACGGTACAGCAGCAAGTGGTCTGTCGTTCTCATGCGTCAGCAGTCAGACTTCAGCCAGTGTGATGTTAGCCAGGAACTCAAATCACAGCTGCTGGCTGCAGTATACGTGTAGAATTCGAGGTTAAAAAATTCGAGGTTCAGCAAGGGCCGCGCCTGCCACAAAATCTGCCATTCCAAATTCGCAAAGTGCCACGCCAGCGCCAAGCGCCATGCCTGCCCCGAAATCAGCGCCTCGAAGCTTGCAAAGCCTTGGTTTTCTGCTGGCTTGTATCTTGGGGTGTAAAGCCGCAGAAAGAGAGTAGGTCAGCTGCGCCTTGCTTGCGCCAGCTGGCCCGGCTCAAACGAAAGGGGGCTATATGTTCATTCAAGACAGCGTTCTTAGCCACAGATGTTTCACGGTGTGTGGTTGCGGGCGCATCCTGCCCACAGTAAGGCCCAGACCTTCGCCGGTCTTCAAGCCCTGTGCTTGCAGACGGTGCAGTGGAAGAGGGAGTAAAAGCGCGCTTTGTATACCGCAAATCAGTAAGACTATGCGTCTGCGCCGTTGATATACCAACCCAGGAATTGTCACCTCTGATCAAGCAGGGCGCCTTGTTGCACTTTTTTGGTCTAGGGGTTGGCATGAAATCCAGGGCAAAGACTTCAATAGCCCTAGGCCCATGGAGATAGTAGCGCCGTCATTCTGCACTGCGCAAAGTAATTGTGTTGCTTCATGTTGTTTCAGCCGCATATGGTGCAAGTTTTTTGGAAGTATCGTTACGCAAAGATAAGCCCAGGTCCGGTCATTTTTCGCTATACACGAAGATTGGTCACACTTCCACTTTCAGGGAAGAGGGGTGCTCACTCACGCCAGCTTTTTGTTGTTTGTTTTTCGTTCCGGACGCAAGCGCACACACACACGCACACACTTAGCCACAGGGTTTGCAGTTCACCATAATCCACGGTAAAATGGATGTGGGAACGGAAAGGCGACAAGGTCAGGTCACTTGAACCGTTGAACATATGTTTCAAAGTCGCAACGAAGTCACAGAAAGCTGCGGCGGCGTGGCTGCAATCGGTTGGAAAAATGGGTTTGAGGGAAGTATCATGAAAACCACCATGAAAGCAAAAACCGGGAATTGGACAGCGTGGTCAACAGTTGCTCAGCAGGTACAAGTCTGTGCGTCCACAGACTCATCCACCCATTTCTCTAGCTTCGTTGGCTAGCGTCGAAAAATGAGCCGCTAGCCCCCTGCGAAACGGTGGAAAAACATCAGACTCCTAGATACGGAGGGGGACACACACACTGCCACACTGCCGCTTTGCCGCGCGAGACCTGAATAGGCACCTAACAAGCCTTAGAAAAAAGGAAAGGAAAGAGAAAAACGGAAACCGAAGAGGGCAGGAGAAAAAAGGTAGGTGTACGGACGCGCAGGTCTGCCGCAAGAGCGGCAAATTGTTGCTCAAAACCTGAGTAGATACCTAAAAAGCCTTAGAATCTTAGAAACGAAAGAAAAAACGACAGAAAGGGCAAAACGAAAAGGGCAAGAGAGAAAGATAGGAGTAGCGAAAAAGATGACTACCTAGCACTTGATCACTTAGCCCTTGACTAAAACCCGAGGGGTAGGGAAGACGTGTCTCGAGAACCACCTAACAAGCCTGAAAGAAAACCTAGAAAACGAAGAAAGCGCAAGAGAGAAAGCGGGGGGCAGGGAGGGGGTGTATGTCCATGTGTGTGTCTGAATACTTAGCACTCTAGCTACTGATTACTTAGCGGTTCTTAATTACGTGCAGTAGTTAGGGAGCGGGACTTTAGTCTTAAACCGCCCGGGTAGAGTAGACTAGAACAGGGGCAACAGAAGGAAAGGCACGCAAGTGTGTCGAGTACCATTTCCTTCTGTTACCCTAATTAGAGGGGGGGGGGTAGAGAAGAGGGGGCGGGGGGTTCATTCTCCGTAAGCCCGGCGGCGTGCTGTCCGTGAGCAATTGCTTCATGGGTGAAACAGTTCAATCCAATATCAGAATCCCAGAATTCAAAAACGCAAAGTCAATTTGTGATCCACGGTGGTTTCGGCGCCCCTTGCGGGGATCACACTGTGCACCCAGTGGGACGACACAGCGATACACACTTAGTCACAGGGACCGCAGTTAACCATAATCCACGGTAAAATGGATGTGGGAACGGAAAGGCGACAACGTCAGGTCACTTGAAGAATCGTCGAACATATGTTTCAAAGTCGCAACGAAATCACAGAAAGCTGCGGTGGCGTGGCTGCAATCGGTTTTTAAAAAAATGGGTTTGAGGGAAGTATCATGAAAACCACCATGAAAGCCAAACCGGGAATTGGACAGCGTGGTCAACAGTTGCTCAGCAGGTACAAGTCTGTGCGTCCACAGACCCATCCACCCATTTCTCTAGTTTCGTTGGCTAGCGTCGAGAAATGAGCCGCTAGCCCCCCTGCGAAACGGTGGAAAAACGTCAGACTCCTAGATACGGAGGGGGACACGCACACACACACACACACACACACTTTGAGAAATGCGTACTGATGTGAATGCGGTCCCACTCCCCAGCCTAAGAACCCAAATCCTGAAAGGCCCAGGAAAGCCCTAAAGAGCCTGGGGGTCTTCAAGAGGAAATGTGGCCCAAAGCGCAAGCCGGAGTCGGAGCGACAGGGTGACGTCGTAGCGTGCAAGTCTGCGGAGCTCACTAGCCCTTTACAAAGGTTCAAAAGTTCGAAGAAAGCAGGTACACCAGGTTGATCAGACCTGGCTTCCACTATCACGCATAGCTTCGTTGGCATGCGTTTGCGTGATAGCCGCATGCCCTCTGCTAAAAAGAAAAAACAATTCAACGGAATCCCTGTGATTACAAGGAGTACACACACACGCCTTCTGAAGGGGAGGCATCTCTGCCCAGAGCGTCCTTGCGCCAGGAACCCTAGAAGCATCAAAGTGGCGTCCTAGTAGTAAGGCCAGGAGCCCCTAGTAGCAACCCACTCTAAGGTCCCGACGGGAGGGAGGGGTAGGGAGGGAAGAGAAAAAGAAAGAGAAGAAAGGAAAGGGGAAGAAGGCGTTCCCAGCTACGACGCAAGCGTCCAAGGACACACCAAAGGCAGAGAGTAAAAGGGTTCCAGCTATGACAAAAGCGAAGGAAGGTGAAGAGAGGAAAGAAAGAAAGAAAGAGAGAGGGAGAGAAAGGGAGAGGAGAGAAAAGAAAAAGGCAGGTGTTCCCAGCTACGAACAGTCGTCCAGTGACACACCAAAGAAAGAAAGGGGTGATCCGGAGTATTCCATTCAGGAAAACACCAAAAAGCAAAGAAAGAAAGAGGGGAGGGAAGGGGAAGGGGGGGGGACTAAGCTCGCGACAGGTTCCAATGAACCTTGAACAAACTTCGGTCGCTGCGACCACGTACGGCTGCCACCTCTGACCGCTGCGGTCACGTAGAGGCATGAGCCAACTTGGAATTCCAAAAATGAGACAGACATCCCACTTCTTGCGGCGTAAGCCATCTGCTGTCCGCTCCGGACACTTACATCTCCGGGCAGGGGAGATAACGACAAACCCTCGTTCGACGGGTCCACGGGAGGCACTCTACGGGCTCATCCCGGACTCTCACTAGGAGAGACACACTTAGAGAAATGCGTGCTGGTGTGAATGCGGCGCCACATGCCAGCCTAAGAACCCAAATCCTGAAAGGTCCAGGAAAGCCCTAAAGAGCCTGGGGGTCTTCAAGAGGAAATGTGGCCCAAAGCGCAAGCCGGAGTCGGAGCGACAGGGTGACGTCGTAGCGTGCAAGTCTGCGGAGCTCACTAGCCCTTTACAAAGGTTCAAAAGTTCGAAGAAAGCAGGTACACCAGGTTGATCAGACCTGGCTTCCACTATCACGCATAGCTTCGTTGGCATGCGTTTGCGTGATAGCCGCATGCCCCCTGCCAAAAAGAAAAAAACAATTCAACGGAGTCCCTGTGATTACAAGGGGTACACACACACTCTGACATTGGTTTTCAGTTAACTCAATTCCCAGGAGAAAAGGAGCGGCGTAACGGCAAGGTGAAGAGTCCGATCATTTGAAGGTGTTTTAACAAAAATTGTTCCAATCGCACGACTGCAGCGGCGAATGCGAAATCAGCGGAAAACGCAAAGCGGAAAGCGCCTGAGGGAAAAGGTTTTGGGATATAGCATGAAAGGACCATGGAACCAGCCAAAGGAAGAGTGGAGTCACAGCTTGTACAAAAGTTCTCGCAGGTACACACGGGTGATCAATCTGTGCTTCCCACTCCAAGGCATAGCTTCGTTGCACTGAGTTTGCCAAGGAGTGCTCAGTGCCCCTGCATTGTTCAAACTCTTGGATACAGAGTGTGACGCGCGCACACGCACACTCAGCCGCTTTGCGGCGCTCCGGCGAAAAAGACCTAAATAGGCACCTAAAAAGCCTTAGAAACGAAAGAAAGAAAGACAGAAAGAGCAGCGCTAAAAGGGCAGGAGAAAAAGATAGGTGTAGTAAAAAGCGAATACTTAGCCCTTGACTGGGGTAGGGACACGAGCCTCAAGAACCACCTAAAAAGCTTAAAAGAAAGCCCAACAAACGACGAAAAGCGCAAGAAGGAAAGCGGGGGGCAGGGATGGGGTGTATGTCCATGTGTGTGTACATGTGCGTGTTTGAATACTTAGCACTCTAGAGTTACTGACTACTTGGCGGAAGCTAATTGGGTGCAATAGTTAGGGAGCGGGACTTTAGTCTTAGACCGCTTGGGTAGAGTAGACTAGAACAGGGACAACAGAGGGACGCACAAGTGTGTCGAGTACCATTTCCCTCTGTTACCCTAATTAGAGGGAGGGGGGGTTGGGGTGTTTGGGGTAGAGAACACGTCGGGGTTTATTCTCCGTATGCCCGGCGGCTTTGAATTTCCGTCGGGCATGGTGTTTTGAGAATCCAGTAGTGAGACCAATTCAGTTAAGAGAATCCAACGTAAGCAGAAACGAGGGAAATCGGTTAACGGCACTCCGGTATGAGGACGGCGCTCCCTTGCGCGAGATCACACCCAGCGCCCAAGTGGGACAACTGAGCGAGTCACACTCTGACATTGGTTTTCAGTTAACTCAATTCCCAGGAGAAAAGGAGTGGCGTAACGGCAAGGTGAAGAGTCCGATCATTTGAAGGTGTTTTAACAAAAATTGTTCCAATCGCACGACTGCAGTGGCAAATGCGAAATCAGCGGAAAACGCAAAGCGGAAAGCGCCTGCAGTAGCTGCTGCCAAGGCAGCCGCAGCGGCTAAGGGAGTGACCGCCACGACATCCGCTGTGGCGGGTTCAGCTGGTGTTGGATCCTTGACGAAGGGTACAGGTGTTGCTGGCAAGGGCACTGGAAGCTATAGCTTTGATCCTAGTACTCAGATTGGTGCGATGGCTCCCCTGGGCTACTTTGACCCAGCTGGCTTGTGCAAGAAGGGAGATGAGGCGACATTCCGCCAGCTTCGTGCTGCCGAGCTAAAGCATGGCCGTGTTGCCATGATGGCAGCTGTGGGCGCAGTCGCACAACACTATGTAAAGTTTCCTGGTTTTGAGTCGGTGCCAAGCGGCCTGGCTGCTTCCATCACAGGCCCTGGAAGCTACGGCTTTGTGGCTTTGTTTGCCTTGGCTGGCATCTTGGAGCTTGGTGCTTGGACCGAGAGTGACAACAAGGAGCCTGGAAACTTTGGTGACCCACTGGGATTCAGCCAGTACACCCAGGAATGGAGGGCCGCTGAGTCGCAATTGATCAATAGTTTATCAGTTTATTTTACGTGTCAGTCATGTTCGCCATGTGTTCTGACACACTCAAACTATCAATCTTTGTGGCTGTGAAACCATGCCTCGATGCATGCACCATCATGCGCCTCCTCTATCATGTATTTTTATTGACAATGTGAGAGAGAGAGAGAGAGAAAAACCGTCAATGGTTTTCGAACGTTTTTAATGATGTTTCGCAGGGGCTTTGCACAAGGTTCAGGCCCCGTGTGTTCAACCTTCCTGAAACATGTTCTGATAGCAAAAGACTTTTGACATTTCAAGACTAGTTACATACTTTATCAATGTTTATCATTTATGCTGTATCATTGTATCATACTTTAACACCATCAATGATTCAATGATAGACTTGGACATGTTCCACAAAACTCTTGAGTCTTGACCATCGAGGAACGAGAGATCAACAACGGCCGCTTCGCGATGTTTGCGGCTATCGGTATCATCGCAGCTGAGCTTTACACTGGCAAGGATGCCATTGAGCAATTCGGGCTGTAGAAAGTGTGACAGCTGCATGTGCCGTAGACCTTTCACTCATTTTCGAGCTGCTTGACTTGGTACAGATGAGCGGAGATCTGTACAGATATCTGCACAGATCTACTCAGCAGCTCCCTTTTCACAGCATGAGTTTTCAGAGGCAACACTTTGGCCCGACAATGCTTGCAGCCAACTGAGTTGCCGCTGTTTGGGTGCACAATGCATCCCCAAACACATGTGGAGTGGATGTTTCGCTTAGAAATAATGCAGTCAGTGAGAGCAGGGCAAGTCCAGTCATTGAGTCGGTGGAGACTGTTTCATTGAGTTTTCCTGTTTTGGACATTGTCAGTGTGTCGTTGCGCTTATGTTCATGCATTCCTGTCCTGACCTGGCATGCTGGAGCATTTTGCACGTTGATCTCTCGCTTGACTCTCTCTTCCTTCGCCATGGCTCCTCGTAGCTCCTTGTTGGCTGCTGGCCTTGCTGCTGGTGGCTATGTGGCCACGCAGGCTTTTGTCCCAAGCGCTTCAGGACCTGTGGTGAACGAGTCGGTGCAGAATTTGCGTGGCACTTCAGCTACACAGGCTACACCATCTGAGGGATTTGGCAGCGCTTTGCCTTTGATGGGCCTTGTGGGGGTTGGAGCTGTCGCTGCTGGACGTGGACGTGTTGCACGCCGTGCGGAACCTGCAACCGCAGCAGCCGCTGCAGCAGCTGCTGCCAAGGCAGCCGCAGCGGC